TGGTCTAGGGGAGTAAGTATACTAAGTTTACTTGTTAGAGGCTTTCTTATTAGTCAGCCTGATTATGGTTTGCCCTGCTAGCACTCAATTTCAAATTTATGACCCGGGTCTACTTTTGGACTACTTCCTTGTAATTCTTTTCTAAGCACTGAATAGATTCATGGGTCACTTATTTCCTTAATTGTTTGGAATATTACAACCAATTTTAGGGATCAAAACATGTGTTTATTGTGATACAATTCATTATACAGTGTTTAGAAAAGTATTACTTGTTGGTTTTAAATGCAGTCTCCAGCCATAAATTTTTAAAAACTGAGTGCTGCTAGGATGAACCAATACCAGGCTAACTTCTCAGAAAATCTTTAAACGGCCAACTCTGTTTTCTACACTTAAAATGCAATAAAATTTGTATTCAAATGATATGCATGGATGGCAAGCACAGATCTCCATCAGCTTCAGTAGCCTTGTTAAGACTCATCTTATTTACATGTAATAAGTCTACTTATAGTTGCTAACGCTAGTTTCTTTCCTGAACAGAATTTGTTGGTAACATTGCAATAAGCAATGTCACATGGAGAACTCAGAGTGGAAAAAAGAATTTCCAGCTTCCTCACTGCACACGCTGGCTTGATCGAGTTTTGCATTGGAGCCGCTGAATGGTATGTTAATTCAAATGAATCTAACTATTTCATACTTTGGTTGTATGATTAGTTTCTATTGTCCTTTTTCTATCCAGGTGTTTTCTAAGTATTATCATTAAAAAAAACCAGCCCAGTGTTTTACATAATAATTTTCATTTTGGGAGCAGAAAATATTTGTGAATTGATAAGTCTACAGAAGTAGCATGAGAACTTGGAGTGTGAAAAGGAATTTCCAGCCTGTTCGCTTCATACACAGACTCGTTCAAGTCTTGCATCAAAGACCCTGCATGGTATGTTTATTCAAATGTTTCTAACCCTTTTATTCTTTGGCCGTACAATTAATTTCTTTTCTTCTTTTTCTCTCTAGGTGCATTTATAGTATTATCTTAAGGAATCCAGACCAGTATTTTGCGTAGTCTCTTTTATTTAAGGAACAGATAATATTTGTGAATTGATAAGTCTACAGAAGTAGCATGTGAATCTGGAGGTTGAAAAGGAATTTCCAGCCTGTTTGCTGCATACCCTGGCCTGTTCGATTCTTGCATCAAAGGCCCTGAATGGTGAGTTTATTCAATTGTATGTAACTGTTTTATTATTTGGTTGTATGATTGATTTCTATCGTTTCTTTTCCTTGTAGGTGCATCCATTGTATTATCATAAGAAAACAAGGACTGTGTTTTACATAGTCTCTTTAATTTTGGGAGGAGAAAATACTTGCGAATTAATGAGTCTTTAGTAATAGCAGGTGCACATATCTCCAGCAGCTTCAGTTACTTGGGTGAGTCTTTTCTCATTAAGATACAATCATACTACATTTGGTGCCTAACTGTGTGTTTCTTCTCTAGACAGGATTTATACCCTGGTTAACTCGGACTGAGGGAAGGACTCTCCAGTCTGCTTGCTGTACATGCTGGCTTCGTGGAGTCCCACAGCAGGAGGCACTCAAAGGTTTGTCAAACAAAATATATTTGACAAGTGTCTAAGTGTGTTGACTTTTATTTATGTACAATATTTTTTTTTGTTCTTGCTCCTAGGTGGTTTTATATAATTGACAAGTGAATGCAAGCCAGTAATTTCAATTTTCTTTTCTACATTTAAAATGCAATAAAATTTGTATTCAAATGATATGCAAGCACAGATCTCCATCAGCTTCAGTAGCCTTGTTAAGACTCATCTTATTTACATGTAATAAGTCTACTTATAGTTGCTAACGCTAGTTTCTTTCCTGAACAGAATTTGTTGGCAACATTGCAATAAGCAATGTCACATGGAGAACTCGGAGTGGAAAAAGGAATTTCCAGCCTCCTCACTGCACACGCTGGCTTGATCGAGTTTTGCATTGGAGCCGCTGAATGGTATGTTAATTCGAATGAATCTAACTATTTCATACTTTGGTTGTATGATTAGTTTCTATTGTCCTTTTTCTATCTAGGTGTTTTCTAAGTATTATCATAAAAAAAACAGCCCAGTGTTTTACATAATAATTTTCATTTTGGGAGCAGAAAATGTTTGTGATTTGATAAGTCTACAGAAGTAGCATGAGAACTTGGAGCCTGAAAAGGAATTTCTAGCCTGTTCCCTGCTTACCCTGGCTGGTTCACATCTTGCATCTAAGGCCCTGAATGGTGTGTTAATTCAATTGTATCTAACTCTTATAGTCTTTGGTTGTATGATTTATTTCTATTTTTTCTTTTTCTTCTAGGTGCCTTTATTGTATTATAACCAAACCTGTGTTTTATATAGTCTCTTTAATTTTGGGAGGAGAAAGTACTTGTGAAGTGATGAGTCCACAGAAATAGCAAGCACAGATCTCCATCACCTTTAGTAGCTGTGGTAAGTCTTATCTTATATAGATGTAATTAGTCTATGTATTGTTGCTAACTTAAGTTTTTTCTCTGAACAGAATTTGTTGGGAGCATGACAGCCTGCAATGTCACCTGGAGAACCAGGCATTCAACTTAAAATTTGGTATGTATTTATGTGGAGATTAGGAGGTATTGAATGCCTCAGTCTTTGATTCTTTTAAAATATTTCTTTTTTTTTTGCAGGGAGTCAACGCATGAAAGGTAGCCTTTGAAGTGGTACTTCTTTCTTGAAGTATTCCTGAATTATAGCCAAAATGATCAATTATTCTGGATATGCCTGGTAGAAGAGGACTTCTGTCAGGTTTTAACTTTAAAGGTATGTGAGGTATCTATCAAGTTAATTTATTTGTTACTGAAATGTCTTTTTTTTTTGTATTTACATCCTTTTTTTATTTGGCAGCATACAAGCAGATGGCAGTTGAAGGCAACTTTGCAGTCATTGAAGCAAGAAAGCAGCGGTGTTCCTTGAGGTGAAGCGATGTGGGCATGCATCTGGGCTGGTGCTGGTGAATCGAAGGAGGTGCAGCGAAAGGACAAGACCAAAGCAAGAAGCAATCATCAGCCATGCTGCAACGTACCTGTCAAGCAAAAGCATTTCAATTAATGTACTAGTTGTTAGTGTTGCTCTGCATTTGTTTGCCCTGTGAATAGACATGATAGTAGAGAAATATGTACCAAACAAGCATTTAGGTATGATGCTTTGATAAATACATTTTCATTCATGCATGCATTTTACGTTTTATTATTTATGTGAAGGAAGGGCTTTTCCTAAATCGGACAATGTAGATACAGGCTTTACCACGGGTCACTTGTGGTCTTCGAATTACGGTCTGCCTGTACCTAATCCGTATGGCTGATTTCTGTCGAAATATTGAAAGTAGTAAAGAATTTGTCAAGCCAGAAATTTTACAAAAAGGTTCTCTCCTGTGAAACTCTCCTGTAAAAACCTGTGAAATTATTGTTAACGAATTTCTTGCATTATTATGATTAGTTCGTGGTTTTACGATTCATTTTGTAACGAATCTTTCGTATGATTACGAATCATCTGTAAGTTTTACGACATGATCCAGGTCTCAAACCTCCCTGAAATATATACGAATAACTCATAAGATTACGAATAGTTCATTTATTTTTTTTACGAATCTCTCATGACAGAAATTTTCCCAGTAGTTATTCGTAAAATTACGACAAAAATTTTTTCAGTGTTCGTAGAGTGGTTGCCATTCAGAAAAGTAAAATATTATTTTTTCAAAGACAGTGTCAAACATATTTTCTCTGTTTTCGATCAGTTTTTTCATGAAAAATGTCTTTCCCGCCCCCGTACCTCCCACGATGAGAGCAGTGCAAGGATGCTTGTACTTCAGATCCATTTCAGAACTCATTGTGCAATGAATTGAAAATCAAAATGAATTGTCTTTTATAGGTTATGGGGCCAGACCAGCTCCCCTGCTCCGGTGTCTCGTAGATTTAAGGCTGTTTAAGGACATGCTGGTCCAGCAGACTGACCACCAGTGAACCAGGAAAATCAGATTAATCTTTTTTTGCTTTTGACGATTATTATATTAGTTTTTATTTGATTTTCTGTATTATTCACTGTGGTATAAATGCTGTTTAAGGACATGCTGGTCCGACCGGTCTGCCATCGGTCCTCGGGAGCCACCCAAAGTTGCTTTCTCGAAGATTTAGTGCTGTTTTAGGACATGCTGGTCCAGCAGACTGACCATCAGTGAATTTTTTCAACTGGATGGTCCATGCTGTTTAAGGACATGCTGGTCCGTCCGGTCTGCTAGCGGAAGTCTCACTGGCGAGGTGAAACTCAAGTCTAAAGGAGGGCACTTCGTACCTACTGATTTGCCCAATTGAACAAAAGCCATAGCCCTATGCGCTTGGCGTTTTTAGCAGCGCAGGTAAGCTTAGGGTTTAACAAGTGAGTCTCCGAGTTGCAAGGAGCCCACAGTTGAGAAAGTTTTTTAAGTGGGGGGCACCCTAAAGACTCAGGGTTGTAGACAGTGAGGTGGGGAAGAAGCCCCTGCAGTAACTTTCTTTTTTGACTGCCTTTTACGTAGAGGACGTTCAAATGAGACGTCATTTGCCACAGCGTCTCTTCAAGAGACTCATAGGCACTAAGCCCAGATTCCCATGGCATTCCATGGATATTTGTGACCACATTATTGTTGTGCTTTACAACCTCATCCGGGAGAGAGGAAGAAGGACAGGGAGGGGCAAATGTGACCACCTTAAACTCGTCTGTTTGGAGATTGGTCCCGAACAGAGCAAATTCTTTGATGATGAACTGCCTGTCAGGCCCCATCAGCATCTGTACGTCACACGTAGCGTAAGCCATGTTGACTGGTCAAAGAGTGACTGACAACTATGCTTCCTGAGACTGTGATATCTCTATAAATACTTCTAGCAAGCGACGCGCCGCCTAGTGGAAGGTGGGGGAACTAGGTAGGGCCAGCTTGCAGACTCCCTTGCGCCTTAACCTCAAAATTTATGAATCACCTAGTATGTCTAGAGCCTCGAGGACTTCCTGGTCCTCCTCGTCCTCATCTCCCCAGGCATTATAGCCATGCGGGACTGTGTGTGTCTGATCGACACGCCGCCGCTTGGTGTTTTTGGCTTGCCATTGTTTGCTGGTTGGCATTGTAATAATTTGCCAAGTTGGCGTGCGAGCAATCTTTCTAGGGATGGGAATGGTCATTTTCCCAATGTCACCCATGACCATGGCCTTGAGGTTTTCGAAGGTCACTAGTGCATCACAAGAGGCATTGATGCTAATACCTCTGACCTTGATGCAGACTTTGGTGTTCTGCACGTCACCTCCAACTGCAACTCGGTACCCATAGTTTTTGGGGCCTCCCGCTACAAACTCAGTGATAAATGAGCCGGGTCCGTAATCCTCCTCTATTTGGTCAGTGAGATCACCAAGATGTGTGCCCAATGGCAAGTCAGGCTCGCCTGGTCGACTGAGGTAAGCTACAGAATCTGTGTCATGGTAGTAGGCGCGCTGTCCAACTATGTCCAAGTATTTGTACAGCTGGAGGCGCCCTAGACATGTGGTCCATGCCGCATGGAGGAGTGAGGAGGTGGGGAGGCTTTCCTCAGAGTCTTCTACGGGTTTGTAAGACACTTGGAAACATTGTTCTGACAACACGATCAGACCATTAACTACTTTGGTCGGATCAGTGACTAATTTAATCAGTTCTCCATAGTCATAGACAAACTCTGTCTTTGAGCGAAGTGTCTTTTCCCCAAACTTCCCCCAGAAACTGTTGAGGATCAGTTTAGAGAGTGTACGAAGGGCGGGGTTTTTAGCCATTTTTTCAGAATCAATGGTAATGCCATCATGTTTTCTAACATCGTCCATGAATATTTCTTTTTTCTCCTGAGTATCGCACTCAGCCGGCCACCCACTGGCCTGAATTTTCAGAGCCATGAAGCGCCTGACATAGGCAGAGAGGAGACCATCTTTTCCCGTTTCCGGCTCATACTGCATAGTACGAGGGTACTGGTAGACCTCATGAATGGCCATCAGTGTGTACCCCTTCTGGAGTGCCAAGTGTAATTCTGGAGCACACCATTCACCAGTGAGTTGTCTGTCCAGGGGATTTGAGTGTAGACAAAGGTCAGAGCTCTCTGTTTCAACACAAGTGCGACAGAGAGGGAACATTAACTTCCCATTGCACTTATAGGGAAGCACAGGAAGGTACAGATCCCGGGGAGGAAGCACGGTACATTTCACGATACCATTCCAAGTATCAACAGGGGGCATTTGGGGGTCACCTTCTAGATAGATAGATGGATGATCAAGGGGGTAACACCCCCTCAAATTTGCATTTGGATACTCGGACACCACGTCCGCCATCTTGATTTTCTCACCCTTAGTGAGATCAACTTTGTGATAGCAGCGGAGGGCACTGGTCCTGCCGCCACAGAGCGCTTTGCGCAAATCAAGGGGAGGTGATCGTGAAGTGGGGTGGGCCTCAAAATATACTTTGACCTCGGGTGTTTTGAGGTCCTCGTTCCAGTCACATTCCCATTTTTCTATGACAACATAACCTGCATTTCTGAAGAGAGCAGTGATACGTTGTGTGCGCTCATAGCGGTTTTCACCACCCTCTGGCTGAGCAGGATAATGGCGGGGGCAGGAATGCCAATAATCCCCGTGAAACTGATAAACGCGGCGCTCTACACCGCCTGTGGGGAGGCTGACCTCAACATAACCATCCACAGCCTTTCCAAGAATCCTAACCTCCCTATCTGTGTAAATGGTCTTGATACTTTGACCCAATTTGTGTTGCTCCCAGTCAAGCCACTGGAGAGCTGCGTGGGATTGTTTTCCCCTGCCGTGGTAACCCCCAGGAGGGACAATGCCAATGGAGTTTGGTAGCAAAAAGAGCTTTCTGAACGAATTCATAACTGCAGAGCTCAATGTAATTGAATGAAACATCGGGTCAAAACCAGCTGACTCAGCAAACAGTTTTCTGAATGACTGGCAGGCTTGGCGAAGGATAGTGACATCAGAAATGCAGTAGTCCACAAGTTCCCTCTTGAAATTAAACACTGCCCCCTGGTTAACTTGTTCGTCATACCATCTGTTAAACTCAATGGCAGACTGAGCTTTCATGCCTGAGACACAGTACATTTCACGCTCGGGAAAGGGGGCCCCCTCATAATTGTAGTACTCGCGGGTGTTGGCCAAGAATGGGAAGTAACCTTTTTTGAGTTCAGTGAGGCCAAATGCCTTTGGCAGGGCACTCAAGGGCATGGGGAGAAACATGAGGCTGTCTATAAATGACCATGTGTTTAGTTTCATGTTTAGGATTTTCGCCCCATTGAGAACAAGTTCAGGCTTGAGTCTCCGTGCAACGAGCTCTTGAAGTACGAAAACGGCGTCAAATGCCTTGGCATTGTGAGCCACAATGAGAAGTTCGGTCTTGGCACCGAAAGATTGTAAGTAAGTAATGAATTGGGACATGACTGAGAGGTTAGGGTCGTCGAAGTCATGGAAAACGTGTTGCCTTGTCTTACATGACGGACAGAAGTAGTCATTCTGAGGGATGTGTTGGCAATCATCACACACAGTCTGGCACACAAGGAGGTTAGGCTTGTGTTCGAAAACCCCGGGTTTCCCTTCAACTTCCGTTTCTTGTCGAGTTTCTATATCGTAATAGATCGAATGGTAAGACCAGCCCTTTTTTTTGTCCCTACCTTCCCATGGCTGCATGTAACACAAGTGATTTTCCTTCACATTGAGTTTGCAGTACTTGCAATAAACAAAGCCACACACGTGTTGCCGCCCCCTGGCATTGGAGTAGCTGGTTTCACACGCTTGGCAAAATCTGAAGGTGTCACATTTTGTTCTGTCTGTGTTGGGCAGTGTCACTGTTTTGTGTGCGTCGAAGCACTGGTCACCACTGAATTTGTGCCCACAATCTTGACAGCGTCTGAGTGGGACCGAAGGGTCATCGTGGGGCTGCGGGCCGAGGCACCGCCAGCAGCATCCCTCACATTGGTGTTCACCCTTGTTCTCATAAAATACAGCACATTTCTGGCATTCGAATTTGTATTCAAATGCCTGGCAAGGATAGAGTATGGCGTGAAAGTGATTGTTGTGAAGGAGAAGATAAATGTTTTTTCTGTGTGCAGTGTAGTCCCCTTTAAACACACATTCTTTACCTTTTTGGTCAGTAAAGACACAGAGTCTGTAATCTGGAAGGACCGCTTGTAATTTCCTAACCTCATCAATGCCACAAGGTTGGTCAGGATCAATGCCAGCCATGTCACATAATTTTTTTGCCTCGTTGTTCTGAATGACTGAGTTAGGCTTTTTCAGTCGGCAGAAGGCAAACCGACTCATTCCCTCCCTCGCCATAGCTACGGCCACAGCCCTGGTCAGACACATGTTGTCTGATGTGTTGGAGGGAGAGTAAATAGTTTTACTGGCTATTTTCCTGGTCAACCATTGGTCCATGGACTCATTGCCAATAATTGCATTCCGCCTTCCCCCTGCCTCTGGGGTGGGAACATGGATGTAACTGAGTCTGAGTTGACCGTTGGCCATGAAACTTTGGTTTGAGTTCAGAACTCTGGCCAGCTTGTCGAGAATGACTCGACCATTCAGTTGGTCTGTTCGACGCATATTGAACCAAAGTGGGTTGTCCACATTGGCAGCATTCTCGATTTCCAGGATGACTTTGTCATCATCTTTTGCTCCAACGGCCTCTCTCTGCCTAGCGAGCATGGAATCAAACAGGCCTTCCATGAGGTCCTCTGAGGGCAGAGTATCGCCAAGACCCTGTATTTGGGCAACCTCTTCACGGAATGTGGTTTTAAACCGGCGAAGATGCCGTTCCCGGGTTTGAATTATTTCTATCGTGGGCTCAACTTCCGGCGCGGGCTTAGGTTCCGGCGCGGATTCCGGCGAACGGGCACGTTTCCGGGCGGGCGTACCGGGCGGCGTGGCGGGGCGGCGCGGGGACTCCGCGGGGCCGGGTGGAGTGGGTTTGGAGCCACCGACCATGTCCAGGGCCGTGGTGGGCAGTGTGGGACTGGAAGGGGCAGGGCGAGCCAGTTTAAGCGCCACTTGATGGATTTGAGCATCCATTTTGTTTTCTTTTGACTTTTCCCGAAGGAGAGCCATGTAACCCGCTTTGAGAAATCCAGGCAGCCGGGGGTCGCTGCGCATCTCGGGGGTGGCAGAGCGAAGGCATCCCAGGACTGTAGAGTATGCCTCAGCAAGAAGCTCGTCCGTGTGGTAGCAGGCTGCATCCCACTCGTCGAGAATCTCAGTCAAAGCCATAGTGACGGCTTGTGTCTTTAAAAAGACAGTTGGCAAGAATCGAGGTAACGAAAACTTGCAAGAGTAGGCAGAAGTGTCTTGATCGACAACGACTGGATGACTGTGCCGCTCCCGGCTGGCGCGCCGCTTTTTATCCCGAGTCGGTAGTTCCGCTTTCCTCCGTGAGGCGGCGCTGGCGCTGCGGCGCACCGCTGCGCTGCGCATGCGCCGTACCGCTCCGCTTGGTGCGCGTTTCGGCCGTGAGGGCGCGCTGCTGTCGCGGCGCTGAAGCTATAAGAGACGCAGCGCACCAGCGAGGGCGGCAGTAGCTCGTGACGCGGACAGCCATCCAGTTCACAGTGCAGAATTGCCTGGGGCTCAAGACCAGCAAAAGGCTTCTCGAACATCCCTTAAGGAGAGGCACAGCCATCACTTCCCCAGTGCCTTTCCTCCTTTTCTGCGACCAAAGCAATGACGCTGCACAGCAGCGCAGGGGAACTTTTTGAGAGGCACGGCCCTCACTTTCCCACTGCCTTTCCTCCTTTTCTGCGACCAACGTCTCTGGTGCTGCGGCGCAGCACTGCGCATGCTCAGTATGCATGGTTCTCGTTGCAGCCGTTAGGGCGCGCTCCAGTCACTGCGTTGGCGTCTGCGGAAGGGGTGGGAAGCGCACTCACGCTCCATACCGCGGCGACAAGGGGGTCCACGCCACGGCCTCTCGCGGACAGTGACGGCTCACAGATGCATTTCACGGTCCAGGGGCGGGTCAGAGAGGGTGCAACCCGCAACTTTCGCTCATCACAGTCCAGGGGCGGGTAAGGGAAGGCGACCCGCGACTCTGTCCCTACGCGGGCCAGGGGTGGGCAAGGATGGGGGACCTGATTAGGTTAGGTTAACTTCCGAAAAGTAGCTGCGGCGCACAGGTACATACCTGCCTAAGTTAGCCTCGCACAAGGTGTCCGAAAGTCCTACCACAGGGACGGGTCCAGACTTAGCTTAACCTCGCTCAAACCTGCTCTGACCTGCTTAGGTTCGGTTAGGTTACCCTCAGAAAAGTAGCTGCGGCGGACAGGAACAGACCTGTGGAACCCGCGACGATGGGCCACCAAGGGGCGACCGCGACCATGTCCCGCCAGGGGTGGATCCAGGTTGTGACTTAGGCCCTTCGAGCGACTTAGGTAAGCTTGGGTTACGTTTCGAAAAGAAGGCGACCCACTTAGGTTGAGTTAGGTTACCCTCGCTCAAGATTGTAAATAAGGTTAGGTTTAGGTTAGGCTCGGAAAAGGAGACGACCAACAACAGAAGTTCTGAGGAAAAAATTCAAAATGGCGGACCCGTTAAAATGGGGCGGACCCGTTAAAATGGGGGGTCAAGATGGCGGCCCGTTAAAATGGGGGGTCTTTACTACTTTTATCAGTTTAAGACCACCGGGACCCTCTACGAGCAGTGAGGACTGATGGGGGAAAATTACAAAATTTCAATTTTTTCCCGTTTTTTACAAAATGCAAAAATTGCCTTCAGGGTTTGATACGGCCATCCTGAGGTCACCGTACCCGAACCATACCCCGAATCATCTTCTCTAAGGACCCCTTCCCCGTTTTCAGCGCACGGGGTACCCCGGGATCCGTTCACACGTTAGGATATGGACGCCAAAAAAACATGTTTTTCTTAAAATGCAAATTATCGGTACTCAGGGCACTGTAGGGGCCCTTTGTCTCGTCCGTATGAACTGTAGTGAATCAAAATCGATTACTAGATGGTGTCTTTTCGTCACAGGCACCTACCAGTATATTGACAATCGGATGGAGAGACCTTTTGAACGCTATTTCCTTGAAGGTTCGGTTAAATCGGGTTTTTCCCAAAAATTCGGTTTCCACTGTACTGCTCTTGGCTCGCCCGGAAAATCCCAGACGACTCAGCCCTCACCACGAGAAGGTGGCAGCACGTCGAGATTCACCACCACCCTTTCCCACCCAACCACTGGTGGGGCTACGACACTTTTAAAAAGGCCGGGCAAAGACAACATCTAGTAATCGATTTTGATTCACTACAGTTCATACGGACGAGACGAAGGCCCTACAGTGCCCTGAGTATCGATAATTAGCAATTTAAGTAAAAAATGTATTTTTGGGGGTCCAAATCCTAACGTGTGAACGGATCCCGGGGTACCCCGTGCGCTGAAAACGGGGAAGGGGTCTTTAGAGAAGATGATTGGGGGTATGGTTCGGGTACGGTGACGTCAGGATGGCCGTATCAAACCCTAAAAGCAATTTTTTTTCGTTTTGTAAAAAACGGAAAAAAATTGTAATTTTGCAATTTTCTCCCATCAGTCCTCTACTGCTCGGAGAGGGTCCCGGTGGTCTTAAACTGATAAAGCATGATCAGACGTTTCCATTTCCGTCTCGGAAACATCATTTGGACATCAGGTTCAGTTTTTTTATGGCTGTTTTTAGAAAAACAAAAAAAAAGTCAAAATTTTTGAATTTTCAACGTCGATGCGCGAGGGTCAAGCTTTAAGTTACAGACCTGGCCCAGATCGCGTTGAGTTTGTATTGCCATGAAGTAACTTTGGCGCGCTATTACGTTTGCGATATCGAAAAATCGTGTTTTACGGCCCACCCTAGTAGACACAAAATACATGGCTCTACTCAGATAATTTTTTTTATATTTATCATAATACTGGTAGGACAAAAACTGGTAGGTGTAAAGGCATCACCTCAAAATCGGAGATGGTCGATTAAACTCGTGTAAATCTACCATGGAACGCCCCAACAGAAAGTTCACAAGGTGCGGTATTTATTATATTTTTATTTAACAAAACTGTAATGCTGCCATAGAAACAGTAGCAGAATTTGAATATTTTTTTCAAAGTTTTCGTCTGGCTTAAATGTTTTTAAAAAAATGTCATTCTTACCTTTCAGCTTCATGAGTTGGTGAACTTCACTAGGGGGTTCTCGGAAAATCGGGCGCGCAAGCCAGAACTGTGCAACCACCCTGACTGCAGGGGGCGTTTTAAGGCGTTCAACAGGATCGACCACCATTATACCACAGCTCACCCAAAAGTTTCAGAAAAGCTCCTTAAAAAATTCCAAGTGAAGGGCAAGTACAAAGCCAAAATCATTGTGTCAATCCAAGAAATCGAAAAGATTTTTGAAGGAGTGTCTGACAGCCCCAATTTTATCCAAAGTTTCTCAAAT